TATAGGGACTGATGGATGGAGATGCCGTATAAAAATCATGTATGGGTGATGCAACCTAGCTAGAGTGTAAGTTACTTGTTGGTTTACTGTTCTCTACTATTGATTTATATTGTGTAGTTTACAGAATGCAACAACATCCATATCCTTGCGTAGGAAAAATCACTGGGAGTTCTTTGCTTTATTTTTTATTGGTCTAAAATTTCACCTTTGATTTGTCACACCAGACGGAGAATTTTCAGATGTAGATGATAAAAGATTCAGATTAAAAGATTTAAAACAAACCCTGCACATTCTCAAAAAATTCAAAGGAACACAAAAGGGGATGCGTTTTTTCTGTTCGTTTGACTTCATTTTGTTTATGAAACTGAATTTCTCCACCTTCTTGGAGTCCTGCCATTCTGTTCTGCGGCAACTGGTAGCGGAGATCGAATAATGTCTCGGTTTTCCATGTTTGTCATCTTGGTAAGTTTGCTTAGTTTCTTCCACCCGCTTGTCCATGCTGACATTTGCTTTGGCTTTGACATCTTATCGAACTGCCTTTGCAAGTTCTCCATGTCGTTTTGGAGCTCAAGGTACTTGGCCTTCATGCTCTCCAACTCAAACTTCAGTGTGTTTATGTCTTTCTTGGCAGCTGCCCATCCTTCCTGGAATGATAATGGTGTAGCTTCAAGCAATGTTTTCCGCTTTGGTATCATGGGCTGGTACCGACTCTCACCAGTGTCTTTGAGGCTGAGGTTGGCCAATGCATTGCTTATCTTCACCTGTTCGGAGAAAAGGACCTGCACCACCACTCTGAGCGGGAGCCTCTCGTTCTGAGCAGCATGCATGCAGGCATCAATTGACAACTTCTGGCAGTCCATCACACGGCAGAGCTTCTTCCTTTCATGCTCAGTCAACGTAGGATGAGCCTGTTAATATGCTAGGCGGATGAGAATTGAAAAGGAAACAGATTCTCCGTGTTCATGTCTAACGGTTCTACTATAGAAGAGTTGTACTAGTTTCAGGATGAAAAAGAGAATTACCTTGAGATAAGAATCGATTGCTCGATAAAGTCCATCGTCACATGTCCTAGCAGATTCAGGTAAAGCTTCAGCCAGAATCCGAAACTTTGTCAGAGAGAGGTTTCTATCTCTTGAAATTTCAGTAAGATAACTGTCCACAAGTCTTGCCACTCTCATCTTGGCATTAGTGTGACTGCTCCTTGGAGTTCCTTCATACATGTGTTTGTCCGAGGAGGATTGTCTTCTGGGGCTTGAACTTTCTGTCTGTTCCTGGACCAGAAAATGCTCCAGGAGTCTCTGAACAAGATCTACATCATACATTGCCTCGCCTTTGTTGTAACAAGGGATGAGAAGATCTGCCAGTGTAGCCTGCTCAAATTGCATTCCCACTCGATTCTCCAGTTCAGTCACCAAAGCTGGTGCTACTTTCAGCATGTTTGCCTTACTTAGTAGCCGTAGAAGAAAGCTACAGGACACACTATCTTTCTGTGGTGGAATGATGCTAATTAGGCTCTCAATGATCATTCGTTGATCTTTGGCCTGAACAGTGGGAGGGTCGTCCTTAATTCCAGCAACAATCATATGAAGTCCACCTTTCCAACTACTGTTACCACTGCCAGCAGTAGTACTGCTGCTACTCATTTCATCCCCCAGACCTGCCCCTTTAATCAAACCTGGAAGCCATTTTACCGCATAATGCATTATTGCAGCTCCAATCAACTCAAACCTCATTCCCTTTACCTTAATTGCTGTAATGACCCTAACAAAGTGATCAATCCTGAGGATTGAAATATCTTCAAACCACCAGTCAGGAGGAACAGGCTGGTTCCTGGTGGGGCTTGAATCCTTCATTTCATTCCACTTGGGGCTTGAGACTTTTGGGGTTCTCCCACTATATGCCCATCTAATTCCTTTGGGATTGGCACAGGCCTTCCAAGCTAATGACTCGCTGCATCTACGCACAATTTGAAGGTTTTCCGCCCAAGGAGAGAGCTTCTCACAACTCTTTAGTACCAGTATTGAGTCTCTCCATGAGGATAACACCACATAGCTGAGAAACGCTTCGGTTTTGAATATAAGGTTGCCTTCTTCTAAATCCTCTGTCATCTCAAGATACTCTGCAGCACACCTCAGACCGGCTACGTTAGCAGCAGTAAGATCAACTGCAATCCCATAACAAAACTTTGCCGCTAGCTCAAATGCATCAGGTCCTCCAGGAAGATCACCCAAAGCAATCTTGTGCACATCTTCACGTGCTTCGTATACAAGCCTGTTCAGTTTTGCACTCCGGGAAAGCAGGGGATACTTTCCCAAGGTAAACAACAAATTACAGTTGAGTCATATGAATTGAGACCATATAGTTTTAAATTCTCATTAAACTGAAAGGTGAAGACAGTTTTCAGAGACAAAAAATCAAACACCTAAGCAACGAATTAGCTACCTTGTGTAAGTGAAAATTAACATCTCCAACCTGAACTAGAAGATCACTTGGGATATCCGTGGTAACATACCTGCATGCAATACTTTCAGAGGCTTACTTTTTTCTGATTTCTATTTTTTCTCAAAGGAAAAAAAAAAAAAGGAAAAATTTCTTCATAGAGCATGAAAATACAGAGCTTTTGTATATGTACATACCAAGAATGGCCTCTTAGCTCAAGTCCATCAGTCTTGACACCATGTTTGCTGGAGCGAAGGACTCCATTATCATACTTTCTGACTCCAAGGGATTCATTATCTGATTTCCACATGTTTGAAGCAAAATTCCCAGAAAAGCTGGGCAGGATTTTCTCAGGAAAGTGGGTTTATATCAGTTGAGAGGGAAGAGGGAAAAGGGGAG